CTTTTCTCATCACATTCCTCTCTTTCCCTCAAAACAAATGAGAAAAAAGGGAATATTTTCTGAATATTCCCTTTTTCTTATCCCCATCCCACAAACCAAACGAAGCCTTAAGGAAATTTGTTTCCTTTTAATCTGGAAACTTTATTAGATCGGAACTACTTTTGATGCTTCAAGGTATAAAGCTTTTGTTGGATTGTTTCATAATCATAAGTGGTTCATGGATTCTCAAGCATCGTACTATTGAGTATCCAGATAAAAAATGATCTTACCTATATTCAACCAAGTGGGAGGCCTGGTGCCTAATAGTGGTTAGGAGAGAATTTTCTCTCTTCATATTCTTGTATAATCTAGCCTATATCACACAATATGGCGCATTTGCTCAAGTTTATCCATATTACATGTTTAGTGATAGTAGGAAAATTGTTTGTTGAAAATAAATGAACTGCAACCATTACTATTATGCTAGAATCTTTAAGTTGCCTTGTTTGGAATAAGCTTTGGAAGATCAATTGGGTGTCTCAAAATTAACCCTTCGATCATTTCTTAGTAAATTATCACCAAGATGGTAGTCAAGACATATAAAACCTATATGGGAAGGGTGAACACATAATTATCAACCTAATAAAAATATAGCAAAATAGATTTCCAACTATTGGATAAGTTCATTATATTGGTAGCGATGGCTATCAAGATATCAAATCTTGATGCAACAACATTAGATGGCTATCAAGCTATGTCATTACCAATAACTTTAGCCAAAGACATGTGATTCAAAATCTGACAGCCTCAAGACATGTCTATTGAAACATATACACATGATTACTTTTTTGTAAAATGTGCATAAATCTAGCAATTTGTGTGGTAAGCCTTTGTTTTTCAATACAAGCCATGAATATCCCAATTGGCAGGAAGCTGATTGGGGCCAAACACCCTTTTCTGATAAGAGATAAGAGGAAATTGTGCATTTAAGTGTCATCAAGAAACCATGGGTGTTGGACACTGATGCATTCCATGTAGGAGAGTCTATGCAACATTGCTTTGAAGTTTGAACATACGAAAGTGAAAGAGTTGTAGCAAATAATTTACGTACAAACCTGGAATAATGAAGTTGGACCAAAACAAATGAATATTTTATGAAGTTTCTACACTGTTTCGTTTTCTTGAACAAAAAACAAATGAATAGATGATCAATATTGAAGAATTTTACATGAGAACTGGTACTGTAAAGGGTTATGCAATGCAAATTGAAAAGAACTGACATTGTTTGAGAAAATGTAAGAAGTGGTTGCATCACAATTCATTACTCTAAAATGACAATATGACAATATCAAATTAATGATGGTATTGGTACTGTTATTACTTAATAAATTGTGAGAGGTCTAGCAGAGCAATTGTATTGTCCTCATGCAGAGCATCCAATAGTTGTGTAATTGATATATCTTGCAATTCACATTCAGGTACAATGACCTCATCATCTAAAACCCAGAAAAAAATAAAATAAAATTGCAATCTTAAATCTAAATGTTGAGACATCATGAATTATGAAGTTGGTATTCCTGCAACAACTAATAGATCATAGAACAAAAGCAAAAGGATGTGAAACACTAGCAATCATGTGACATAATGAAGTAAAAGCATGAGTTTCCGGTTCATGCTTTGGTAAAATCAGGAGATTGGTATTACCCAAAATGAACATCAAGTGGATGAGCAAATACTCTTCACTTGATCCCAGAATGTGCATCCTAAAACAAGTAATTTTGCAACAGCTTATGTGGATTTTCAGGAATCAAAACTGGAAAACTACATTTTCATGTAAAATATTTAACTTGCTTTTATGTCCTTAAGAACTATTTAACCAAAACAGGCTATATACTTCTATATTTTTGAAGTCCTAGATGTCATTTGAGTAAATTATGTTTTGTTTAATATCAACTTCTAGTTCTTACTCAGATAAAAAAAGTTACGAATTTGTTAGTTTTTTACAGATCCTTTATTGAGTTTACCTTAGGTCCAACAATACTTTCTAAGTTTTCTAGAAATGAAAAGTTAACTCAGCTGGTTTTATCTACTTGTTTTAAGGTTGTAACTTGTAAGATGTATATACTTGTTTCAACTTTTAACTTAAAAAGAAAGAAATAAAGAAGGTAATCACCCAGATTACTTAAGCTACACCTATCAAAGTTCATATTTTCTCAATGTATTTCTGATCTAGATAAAAAAAAAGTTGTCACTTATTGAACCAGAATTAGTGAGTGTTATGATCACTATTGCATTTCAAAGAGTTGGTATTGGTTGCAAAAGATCTAGTGTATATATATATATATGGTGGGGTGTAGAGGTGATGTGAATTGGCATGATAGTGACAAGGCCAATCTAAGAGAGAAGAAATGAGATGAATTCTAGGAAGCTGAGGCCACAACATTCTATGGTGACCTGTAGATTTCCATTATCCATGAAGCTCTTTTTAAGCATAAGGTTCTAGAGCTTATTGTAGCATGTAAGATGGTTGTTTAAGTTTCAATTTGGTGTATGCATTCCTAAAGGTGGAAGTTCAGGTAAAACAGAAGGTTTGCTTTGTCAGAAAGAAATGGGGCTTTTAGATGCAAAGCATGTCAAATTTATGTAGAACAAGAAGTTGCATAGGGATATTGAGGATCTAAATAAGGAAAAGGATGTGGGAAAGGTGATAATCGGAGAGCAACATAAGCTTAGTCTTGAGCTACCTACAAATAACATCATCAAAACAAGGAGATAGTGTGCCTTTGTGAGGCAAATCAGAAGCTTGAATTTGATATGGGTAAAGCTTATTGCAGCATATAAGACCCTTGAAAGTGAAAGTTCTTCAAAGAGTATGGAGATTAAACTACTGAAAGAAAGACTTAGTGTTTGAAAAAGGCAAAATGGAAGACCTTTATTCAAACATGGAAACATTCATTCCCAACACTCATGGGAAATATTTTAAATCAAGTAAATCCCATTTCAGTTCTCATGTCATGCTTGGGTTCCTGATGCTTACTGATGGTTCTCATATGCCAACAACTAAGGTTGAAGGGATTGGTTTTATGATACTGTTTAAAGACTTGTCTTCTATCTATACAAAAGGCAGAAGAATTTGTGCATCTTTTGCAACTTAGTCTAGATGAAGGGCCATCATTGAAGGTTGAATAAAAGCTAAGAGATTGGGTATGAAATCCATGGTGGATTTTTTTGCAACTCTATTAATATTACAAAAGCAATTGTGAAAGACATGAAGGTTGATTAGTCCATGAAGAATTTTAAAGATTCCACTCTGAATCTAATTAAATCTTTTGAGTATGTACATATTAGTCATATATCTAGACTGTCAAACTCGGTTGTCCATCTACTAGCTTATAATGCTTGTAAGTTTAACGATGAAGGAACTTATGTAGGTAGTTTTGATGACTCTTATAGTATTCAGACTCATCTAATATAAAGTTCACTATCTATTTGCCCCAAAAAATAGAGAATCAAAGAAAAGACTATACATTACAATGCTATTTATGCCTTGTTCATCTTTTCAAATTGGATTTTAGTTCTCTAATTATCATTCTGAAAAAGATTTACCAAAATAAGCCTATGAAACTACTTTAAAGAATGAAGAGTGAGGACACATGTCAACCATGTATGAACTATCGATTATTTTTTTATCACCATCTTAAATTTGGACTTTAATGTCTTAATTGTCAACTTAGTATAAATTTATCGAGATAAGTTATTAGAAGTATTAATTAAATTTATTGATGAGAACTTGATAACTTTCATATTTCACAATGATGACCTAATTGGCAATGACGTAATAATGTCAATTATTTTGTTCCTGCTCTTCTGTATTACCTTTATATGCACTAAATCCCAACTTGGTAACAGTTTACCAAGATTTGAGATATTGATAAAATCCCAATTTTCCAACTGAAACCAAAACTAAACTCAACCATTTGCATATTTTGAGATAATGATTCAAAATATCATTACCAACAACCAAAACTAAACTCGATCATCTCATTCCTTTCCTTGTAATAAAAGAGAATTATAATTTTTCAATGTGAACAAGCTGAAGCATCGACTCAAAATATCATTTCAACAGTGCAGTCCTCCTTTGAATAAGGAGATTTGCATCTCTATACAATAAAAATTGCATCAACCACTGCTCTTGCTGCTTCTTTTCCACTTTTTGAAGCTACACAATAGTTGACACTTCTTTGGTGATAAGCACATCCCGTACCAACATCAATCGACACATGCCTTTAGTCAAACACCAAGAACAAAAAGGGTCTCAGTCTTTCCAACTCATCACCATTGATGTTGACGAGCTGTTGTACCCCGTTCAGTGGCAAGAACATGAAATTGATTATTCATAGTCAAACGATGATGGGTGATCTCTGGGATGACAATTATGTCATGGTTCATTAGCTTGAAATCTCCGAAAGCTCGTGTCATGGTGAGGCCAAGAAAGTTCTCGTTGGGCAGCCACAACGTTGAATGTGTGGCTCGTTCTTTAGTGCAAATATTTGGCCACTGTTCTTCTTTATTCCTTCTGCTTCTTATACATTATCACATTTAACAACCCTTTTCAATGGTGACCTGAAAAGAAAACATGGCTTTTGATGGTGATTCAAAAAGAAAATTTAATGGTGATTCAAAAAGGGTTTTTAATGGCAATACAGAGAGAGAGAGAGGGAGAGGGAGAGAGAGAGAGAATAAGGCTTTGGCTTCCATTCTCTCGTTGCAGTCTTGATGAAGCTCAAGATTCTAAACAGATTCAAAGGAGTCCTAAGTTGGAACAACTCAAAGGAGCCCTAAGCTAGAAAACAATGTTGGGTTTAAGAGAGGGTATTTAGGTCTTTTTCAATTAAAGAGTATTTTGGAATTTTGCAAAAGAAAAAGAAAAAATGACATGGAAAACCATATTGTCTTCCAAAGTCATCAACATCTACAAATTGCCTTCATGGTGTGGGAATTTGTCCATCAAATATTTCTGTTAGAGTTATTTAGGTTTTTGAAATCTGGTAGGGTTGGACTGGGATTCAGAAATCTGAAATGGGCTTATCCGTACTTTAAGGGCATACCATAGGGGTAAATTTGGAAACGAGAATACAACCGTCCCCTTGTTGCAGTGGTCTAGCTCGGCGAGGGAAAGTGATGATAACTCGGTTCTTTTGTCGCCTGATCCCGTCAAAGGACTGCTTCACAGTCCGCAGGATATCAACTGGTTGCCATTTCTGTACACAAAGCCATTTTTCCATGGAAGCTGGGAAGAAAGCTGCAGTCTTGTACCATTATCCCTGTCCGGACGGCGCGTTCGCAGCTCTGGCCGCCCACCTCTTCTTCTCCGTCACTTCCACTCCCGCCGTTTTCTTCCCCAATACTGTTTATGACCCAATCAGGTCTCTTTCCCCTCTCTCTCTCTACCCTCCCTCATTCCGTATTTCTATTGTCTCTGATGTAGCTGGAGTTGTTATAGTTCAGAAATTAGTAACGTTGATTGCTTGGTCGATGCATGTTTTTGCTAAGTGCTAGTTGTTGGTAATGCTATGTGTATGTCCCTGTTATGATATATTAGGCTTTTCAGGTTCATTTATTGATTGAATGATATGAAGAGTGTACAGTTCCTATGTGGGTTTTCATTCATTACATAATTCGTACTTGTTTGTTATTAGTTGTTGATATGGCATCAATAATCTTTTTTTTTTTTTTCTTTTTATTGTTCTTTCTTCAGGGTGGAAGATCTTCCTTTGGATGAAATTAATGATGTTTACCTCCTAGATTTCGTAGGCCCTTCTGGTTTTGTTCAAGCAATCGCTTCTAAAGTTGAAAGGTTTGTTTTTTTGGTCTGTTTTCCGTTTAAGAAATATGCGGAGTTGATGGATTTTAGGACTCAGTTGTTTCTTCATGTTATCCTTCTGCAAGGAAATCAACTTAGACATAGTTATACTCTTCTGTTGTTAATAACTCATGACGTTCTCTTTTTCCCAGGATTGTGATTTTAGATCATCACAAGACTGCACTTGAGATGCTAAATGGAAACACTTCTGTTGGCAAGAATGTGATTAAAGTAATTGACATGGAGAGAAGTGGGGCTACCATTGCTTATGATTACTTTAAGAAGAATCTCTTAGGAAGTGGTAAGATATCAAATAGCAGTAGTGGGGCAGTTGGAGTTGGGAATGAACTGTTGCCCGAGAGTTCACTCAAAGGCGTTAGTCTGCTGCAGATGTTCAAGTATATTGAAGATGCAGATCTATGGAGATGGGCTCTTCCAGATAGTAAAGCTTTTAGTAGTGGGATGAAAGATATGAATATTGAATACAATGTTAAACTAAATCCTTCTTTGTTTGAGCAGGTAAATATTCAATTTGATCTATTGGTTTGGTTGTTTTGGTGATTCTGTCAATGTGTTGATTATTCCTGTACAGAGCAATGTCAAAGCCTTAGGTTTCATGTGATGGGTATGGTTGTTAAGGCTAGATTTAAGTTTATTTTTTTTATTTTTTTTATGAAGGAAATAACAAGGATACATTTAGGAAATTGGAAGAGAAAGAGTGGAAGAAGAAGAAGAATTGGGTTGCTAGGAAAATGACAGATAAGCAGATGACGGTTACAATGAAGGTAGTGATCTATTCTGATAAAAAAAATGAAGGTAGTGATCTAGGACGCTTTGTCTGGGTTGAGCTGGGAATGACTAGGGGTAGAGGTAAGAGGGAAAATGGTAAAGAAAACTCTAAGAGGATCAACATTAGTACTCTGACGGAAGTAGGGGTGATCATGGGCTGGGCCCAATTACCTGAGGTAGATGCAAATGAAGTGGATGGAGTAAGGTAAGTCCTCTTCAAATGGCAGCACCCTCCATACTTAGAAGGTTCTCCTTAGGTACAGAACATGTTGGGTGGTCCTGGGAAGTAGCTGTAGTAGTAATAACTAGCTCATGCTCCTGGGAAGCAACATTTGACCCATGCTGTCTATATGGGTCTTCAAAGGCTTGAATGATCCCCATCGTCTCCTCTATTTTCTTCTTGGATCTTCCTTTCTTCCTATTCTCCTATTCTTAGTGTGCATCAGACTACTAATAGTTTGATTTCTACTCATACATACATGTGCATGTGTGTGTTTGTGTGTAACAGCCACTACACCACAACATTAATGTGGCAGCTGGCACCCATCGTTTCTTACTATCTGAATTTCATAAATTTGAGCAGTTACTAAAGTTGGATCTTCAGTCTGTAATCAATCAAGGCATGGGAAGCTTGTCACAAAAACAAAAACTAATTGATGAAGTTCTTGAGCAGTCTTTTGAAATTGAACTGGGTGGTGGATTATTTGGCCGTTGCCTGGTATGTTCTTGCTTGCACATTCTTTTTATTTGTTGTTTCTTCGTTGAGTAGCATTATAATGATTCTTCCAGTCTTTCTTTTGTAGAATCTGTGGGTAGACTTCTTTTTGCTCAATACTGTAGCATTTGGAAAGAGAAAAAGATATTGGTTTGATTAGAAATGTGATTTTGAAATAGTGATCCATTTGATTCTTGCTCCTCCCTTCTTCTACCAAAAAGAGAAAAGAAAAGGATGGTATTGAATTTCTACATATCCATTATGAATTCCCTGAACCCAGAAAAACTAGTTCTTAATAAAGTTCCCTATGAATTTACCTTACATGCTAAACTGAGAAGTCATAGCAGTTTTGCATGAAATGAGCATAGACTATTTTCGAAACCTCTATGAATATGTGCCATTTAAATCATGTTTTCCAAGGTGCCAATGCAATGCTTGGTGACAGGAGGCCGCCTTGTTGCCTAGGCATCACCTAAGTGATTGTTTTTTTTAACTAAAAAACATGAATTCTAGGGTAGTTACCTAGGTTAGGTTCTATAACAACTAGAAACCACCATTTATTAATAATTATCCATATATTTCATAAAGAAGTATAAATTTCATATTCAAAAATAGAAAATCAACATATTCATGAGAAGGAAAAGAAAATTCAAAAAATATAGGGCCTGAGACCCTGTTTTTGTCCTAGGAAAAGAAGAAGAAGAATGTGTTTACTGGACAAGATTTTTAAGTTCTTAGTTTTGTTTGCTCAAGTTTTTAAGTCTTTGAGGGTTTAAGACAGCATACACCAACATGTGTGTTGATTGAACCCTAACAAATTAGAAACTAATAAAAAGAAATTAGTATATAATCCCACAAAATGAATATTTTAGTTATTAATGCCTATTTTTTTATTATATTTTCAAAAAATTAAGAATATAAAAGTATTTCATAGTGCCATGTACAAATTAGCTTGGTGATTAAGCGAGGCAACCCTCCATGAGCGCCTTGTCACCTAGGCATTGCCTTGACAACTATGATTAAGTTTAAGATAGAAATTTTAGTCTGGTAGGATTCCTTTTGTTCTAGTTTTCTTATACCAATTACAATATAGGAAATATGTATTATTATATTGCATTTTATCTAATTCACTAATATGCAATACATGGATTAAATATTTTTGGTATCCCCACTTGAAATCATTTTTCAATTTTCATGTCTTACCAATCTTAAAATATGAACTTTCTAATGAGTCTTTATGCAGGCTGTTCATGGTGATTCTATTTCAGATCTAAGAAGTGAGCTTGGAAACCAGTTGGCTAACAAGAGTAATAGAGTAAAGTTGAGGTTAGATATCTCCTTTTCACAACCTGCTATATTGAAGCAATATTGGAATTTAATTTGATTAATAAATAGTTCTTGTTTTCAAATTTGATTCTGTAAACAATCCTATTCAGTTCTAGGTTCGAAGTAGAGAAGAAGAAGAGAAGAGAAAGAGAAGAAGAAGGGTTCGGCTTGTAGAGGAAAAGTCACCCCTCTAGTCGACCCACTTTGTATTTATATTGAATAAATTGAGTTACAAGAAAGATAGTATTGCCCCTTAAAGTGATGGGACACATAACTTAAACTTGAATAAAACAGACCTTTCACTTCTAATTAGATAAACCAAAAGACCAAAATACCCCTATTCTGTCGACTCTAACACCCCCATCAAGCTGGAGAGTATATGCCATATAGTTCCAGCTTGTCACATATATAATCTACTCTACCCTGAGACAACCCCTTTGTAAAGAGATCTGCCCACCGGTTTCCTGAGCTCACATGAGATGTAGTTATCAATGCACTAATCATTTTTTCTCTTACAAAGTGGCCATCGACTTCAATGTGCTTTGTTCTCTCATGGAGGACTGGATTAGAAGAGATATGTACAACAACTTTTTATCATAGTATAACCTCATGGGTTTGTCAATTAAGAACCCCATCTCTTGTAACAAGTTCTTCAACCATACTAGCTCACATGTGGTATGAGCCATAGCCTTGTACTCAGCTTCTGCATTGCTCCTTGCCACCACTATTTGGTTCTTGCTCTTCCAAGTTACCAGATTGCCACCAAGGAAGGTACAATACCCTGTAGTTGATCTCCCATCTGATACAGAACCAGTCCAATCAGCATCTGTATATCCTTCTATCTCAAGAGTTCCTCCACTTTTGTATAGCAAACCATGACTTGGAGCACCCTTCAGATACCTAACAATTCTTAGAACTGCTTCCCAATGAGGAATCCGAGGATATTGCATAAATTGACTCACCATACTTATAGCCAAGGTTCAAAATATCGATACGCCCGATATGCCGGTAGGGGCGTATTGGGCGAATCGATACTGTTTTTTTTTTTTTACTTTTTTATATTTTTTTCTGAAACCGGTTTAGGGGAGCCGATTTGGGGCTCCTCCACCCCTTGAACCGGTCAGCCGATACGAGCCGATACGTGTCGATATTTTGAACCTTGCTTACAACAAATGATATATTTGGCTGTGTAATAGTCAGATAGTTCAATTTTCCCACCAACCTCCTGTACCTTCCAGGATCATCAAACTTTTCACTTGCATCAATGCTCAACTTAGCATTTGATTCCATAGGTGTCTCGGATCACCTAACAGCCCTGTTTCTTCAAGTAGGTCAATGACATATTTCCTTTGACATAAGTTAATTCCATGCCTTAACCTTGCAACTTCTATTCCTAGCAAGTACTTCAATTTACCCAAATCCTTCGTATTGTAGTGGTCCTATAGGAAGTTCTTCAACCTATCAATCCCATTACTATCACTCCCAGTTATGACAATATCATCCACATACACCACTAGCAAGACTTTCCCATCTTTTGAGTCATGGCTGAACACAAAATGATCCACCTGACATTGTTTCATCTCAAAGTTCTTCACTATTTCACTGAATCTACCAAACCACACATGTGGAGATTGTTTCAGCCCATAAATTGCCTTTTTAAGTCTACAAACCTTACCATCCTCCCCCCGAGCAACAAACCTTGGTGGTTGCTCCATATATACCTCCTCAATTAGATCATTGTGCAAGAAGGCATTCTTGATGTCAGGTTGCAAGAGAGGCCAGTCATACCTTGTTGCTAATGAAATCAATACCCGAATTGAGCCAATCTTAGCCACAGGAGAAAATGTCTCCATATAGTCCACACCATGCAACTAAGAATAGCCCTTGGCCACTAACCTAGCCAGTGATTTAAAAGGCGCGCCTAGGCGCACAGGGTATGTGCCTCGCCTAGGTCCAAGGTGCAACCCTTTCAAAAGGCACATGCCTGGTGCGCCTAGGCACGTGCCTTTTGAAAATTTGGCGCTTTTTTGCTTTTTTTTGAACATAACGGCTGGGCCGGGGGCACCCATGCCACGCCCCTCGAGGCAAGCCCAAACAAGTCCACATTAGGTCTTAAATTCTTATTTTTCACACAAAAAATAATGATTTTATAGTTTTAATTGCTTTTTAAGAAGACATTTTATTAGGATGAATGAATGAACAACATTACCAAACTGGGTCATTTAAGACCTAATGTGGAATTGTTTGGGCTTGCCTCGAGGGGCGTGGCACAAATGCGGCTCGTAGAATCAGGAATGTAATATGTTTTACATTACATTAGCTATGTGAAGTACTGTAATTGAGTGAAAAAAGAGATTAGAGGTTTTACATGCTTGAAAATGTTTGATATGTTTGATTTTATTTTTAAATTCTCATTTGAATATGCTTTACATCTTATGTTTATGTATTTTAATTTTAGACAATAGGTTTTTTAAAACATTATTTTAAAATTTAACTTTATATTTTTTTAGTAATATTATGTTTAATATTTTTTGAATTTTTTGGCTTTTTTTTTAATTTTCTGACATTTTTTTTTATTTTTAGCTTTTTTTTGTATTTTTGCACCTTGCTTCAAAAAGGCGCGTGCCTTCCCTTGTGCCTCAGGCGCAAATTGACCCCTGCGCCTTGCGCTTTTAAAACACTGAACCTAACCTTTAATCGTTCCACACTGCCATCTAGAAGATACTTCACTATGTAGACCCACTTACACCCAAGAACATGCTTACCGGGAGGGAGAGTAGTAAGTTCCCACGTGTGATTGTGTTATAAAGCAGACAATTCCTCTTCCATTGCTTGTTACCACCCTGGAGAGGTAAGGGCTTCTTGGACAATTTTGGGAGTAGAAACCGAGGATAGCAAGGATATAAAGTGGCGGTGGGAAGCAGAAAGGTGAGCAACTAAAACATAATGTGAAATAGGATGAGATGTACAACTACGTTTACCTTTCCGCAATGCAATAGGAAGATCAAGGTCCAAGGGAGGAGGTGCAACCACTGGATTTGTCGACGATGACTGAATTGGAGGGGGGGTTGGTGCTCTTCTATGAGTATACACTTGTCGGATTGGTGGCCACTCAGTAGTAACTTGCATGGGAGAGGGATCCGTAACTGGAATAGGAACCACGGGAAGGGGGTCCTCAACAGAAACATGAAGTGGAATCACGGGGGAAGGAGAAGGGAAGTCAGTACCCGAGAAAAATGGGACTGATTCAAAGAAAGTGGCATTGGAACACACAAATAACTTATGAGAGTTAGGGTTATAGCACTTATACCCTTTTTGAGTCCTAGAGTATCCAAGGAAGATGCATTTAGTAGCACGTGCATCTAACTTGTCGAAACCAAGCCTCAAATATTGAACAAAACAAACACACCCAAAGACTCTCGGAGTAAGAGGAAATGGAGACAGAGTGGGAAACAAAACTGAGAAAGGGGATTGACTTACAAGGATGGACATGGGCATCCGATTGATGAGGAAACATGATGTTAGGACAGCATCACTCTGGAAACGCTTTGGGACATTCATATTAAGCATCATAGGCTGAGCAGTTTCAAGTAGGTGCCAATTTTTCTGTTCAGCTACACCGTTTTGTTGTGAGGTGTAGGAACAAGAAGTTTGATGAATTATCCCATGGTGCTCTAAGTATTGCTGAAATGGTGTTGAGGTGTACTCTTTTACATTATCGGAGCAAATAATTTTAATATGAACTCCAAATTAGGTACGTATTTCAACATAAAATTTTTGAAAATTTGAGAACTATTCATTGTGATCTTTCATAAGATAGAGCCATGTCATCCTTGAAAAGTCATCAACAAAAATTACTAAATACTTATAACCATTGTATGACACCACTTTATTTGGACCCCAAACATCAGAATGAACTAAAGAAAAAGGACTCAAGACACGACTATCAACTCTTGGACTAAAAGAGACTCTTTGGTGTTTCCCAAGCTAATACGATTCACAATCCAACGATGAAAGATTACTTAAGGACGAAACCAGCAACTTCAGGGCCTTGAGAGATGGATGACCAACTCTGCAGTGCCATTGAAAAGGAGTAAGAGATGAATGAAATGCTACTGGCAGGGCACCACCATCAAGGTTATACAATTCCACCTGCCTCATGCCCTCTGTTGGTTCAGCTGATTTAGTGTTTATGTTAGTCATATTTGTGTCTTAAGTCCTTAGTTATTGGGCCTAAACTTGTTTAATGTTTTATTTGTCTAGGTGTCCCATCACTAATCAGGGGCATTCTACTCCATTCATGTAACATTATTTTGTAAACATCTATATAAGATTGTAAGGCCGGCTGAAGTAGATAAGCCGCCATTCTCAAATCTTCTCTTCTTCTTCTTCTTCTTCTTCTTCTTCTTCTTCTTCTTCGGCTGTTGTGTTCCAGCAAACATGGTATCAGAGCACTAATCCGTCTGTCTGGTTACAGCCACCACTTTTCTGCTCTTCTCTATTCCTTTTTTCCTCTCTCTCTCCTATCTTGGCCGCTGTGAAGAAACCCTAGGGTTGACCGTAGAACACAACAAGGTCTGTATCTAGGGTTTCCCTTGGTTGTAGGGCCCAAGGGGAGTTTGTTCCAGAAGTCGATGCCCTACTAGACACCTTGCAGTAGGTAGTAGCCATTCGACTGCTAAGAGAGATCTGTGTGGAATAGATCTAGGTGGAAGGACTGACTTCGACATTCCTAGTATAGATTGTAAGGGTGATCACAGTCTACGACAACAGAAGTCAAAGCCTAGTCTAGTCCAGAAGTGTTTAGCACAGTACAAAGGTGAATTGTTCTTGGTTTCAGACCTGTTATGAGGGGTTCTCAGGCTTGTAACAGTTTCGGTAAGTCTGAAATAGTGTTCTTTGTACTGAGTTTTTCAGTTGTGATCATTGTAAGAGGAAGGAGATGTCTTCAATATCGGGAGAAGTGTCTTCTAGGGATAATAGAACTGGTGGGAGGTCTC